TGCGAATAGCCGAGAAAACAAACGTGTAACAAGAAACATGGCCAGTTACAACTTGCCACTCAATGGATTGGCGGCATTGTTTCAGGACGTGGGGGTTTTCGTCTGGCATGCGTTCTCCCTATTAAAAGGCACAAATGTCCGTTTAACAACACTGCAACGTGGCGAATGTGACTCGCCAACGTATAAAGTCACAGCCCATACCTTCACACTGGCAGGTCAACTAGCGTCACCACTCCAGATAGTTTCGTTACACTGGAACTTCTACATCTGCATAGACGGTCGTCACCTCTTTCTACGCTTCCACGCATATACTGTCATCATTTTACCTTCCACGATACCACCGTTGATCATTGCGTTACTTGTGCACGAACTCACTGTGTTGTCATATCTCTTCCGAGCGTGCTCTTCAATTATCTTCCAACGGATCATTCAGGTTTCTCAATCTATTATTAGCCGAAGCCTCGATCTCACGACAGCCATATTATTGTTTCGCATTTTCATCGTTGTACAGTCCCAAACATGGACACATGAACAATTTTCTACTGTCACTGTTACAGTTGCCATAAAAGGGCTGTACAGTTGCATATACCCGAGCATGCCTCCATGGGCGGGCCTCGCATAGTCGAGAATAAGATATTTATTTATTTATTTATGTTATTGGTCGGAGTCAAACTATGTGTAATGTTCAGCCGAAGTCTAATTCCAAACCCAAGTAAACTGCTTCCAAGTCCTAAAGGAACTCTGTTCTCGACAAAGTCAACAAGCTGGAAATGTTGAGCAAGGACAGTGCGTCAACACAGCCGCAGATCTTTGGCAGCGCTCTTTCACCTTCCGTGAACGATGTCTTACCATTGTGAACGCGCCAGAATCCACCAAAGACATATCTGCAGAAAGGATGCTGGATGCCCAAGAATTCCTTGAGCGGATGATATAAATTTTACTCGATGAAGGTAAATTGGGTATAAACATAATCTCTACCTTCTTCTTGGCAGGAAACAAGACTATCCTTCTAAGCTACACCCCACAAGGTCGTATGCCAAAGCGAAGCGGAATACCGATGCATCCTCCGGCGAACCCCACGTTTGAAAGGTGAGCATTGTTACGTCCTTAGTGATCTTTCCCCCGAATTCTCGGATTAACATGAAAACAGCCTTTGATACGCTCCGGTCACGCTAACCAAATGGTAAGACAGACCTTAACATCGTGGAGTTTAGCGTAATTCGGAGAGCCCCGAGAACCCGTTGGAAGCCAATTCTCCTCAACTCAGGACAGTAGTGCATGAGAAAGGACTGCGTGTACTTTTCGCCAATGAACGTAGTCCGGGAAGTAAAGTTGATGAAGTACAGATGCTTGCATCAGATACTCGCCAAGACTTGATGGCATTCACCGAAACTTGGTAATTTGCTGGCACCAGATGTTCAGAGGTTCCTATCCCCAAATACAGTCTCGGTCGAGCCGACCAACTTGGAGGTAGGCCATGTGGCCTCTTCGTACTTTACTGGAAGACCGAACTCAAGTCCCGCTTGGTGGCAGCTACTAGTGACGACGATGGTGACTTTGATGCCTTTCGGTGCCGTATTTATGATGGATGCAGATCCTTCATGCTTGGTGTCGTCTATAGTGCGCCATCGGGATCCGGAGCTCACTTGCTCGATTCGACCAGGAAACACGGTGCAGGAAAGGACAATGTTATATTTTTGGCGCTTTTACTGCCCCTAATATCGATTAAGGCCCTCCTTTGTAGTCTTCTACCCGATTGCTTTGACTCTACCTTGGTTGAGGTTGTACTCGATTGTAATTTGTTTCAGCACGTCACCATGCCAGCCCGCATTGTTGCCGACCAAACTCCGAACCCTCCGGACATTTTGCTCACCCCAGCTATGTCAGGTGTCACGAACCTAACAGTTCTCCAACCCCTCGGCAACAGTAATTAATGTGTCTTTTCATTCCAATGGACACGTCGCCTCACGATCCAAATCCAAGGTGGTTGTCGTCGGAACTTTTGGCATGCGGATCCACCGTCTGAGAACAGCCACAAGCGCTAGGGACTGGAGTATTCCTGATCCCATTTCTCTTGAGGATGTGTGGAACATAGTGCTCTCCAAAATTACGTCCCTACTTGGACAGGTCCTTCCTTACTCTCGTAGAAATTCCTTCAAGAGGGGTCCACCTTGGAATAACAGTAGACTGAGATTTCTGATGAACATGAGACGCAAGTTGTGGGATTGTTACGGGACATCTCAAACGGAGTCCAATTACTCTTCCTACAAGACTAGCGGGAAGGTTTGTGACCCGTTGAAGCGTCGGAAACGTCCGCAAATGAACTGTCCCTAGCAATACACTCCAGAATGACACCCAAAATGTTTTTCTCTTATCTGAATTGAAGCACCAGTGCTGGCAGTGGCATCCCTACCTTGTGTTCCTTAGAGCATCGAAATATACTTTACGAAGAGGCTGATAAAGCTAGTCTCTTGGCTCAAACAGTACGCCGCTGTTTTCCTGAATAAAACTCCCGTCTGCGCCAACACTGTGTCCAGTTTTTGTGAAGATTCGTCGCAGTTAGACACAGACAGACAGCCACCACCCATCCAGGAAAGCGCTAGACGGCCGTTTCGTCCTATTGGGACTCGTCAGTAGCGCGCACCCGCCGAATCCTGCCGGATTCGAACCCACGACCTTACTCTTGCGAGTCAGCGACTTATGCCACTGAGCCATGGGCGACGGCAGCGGACCGCCATGACTGCTATCTAACTGCGATAACTCCGATATGGCCCTGTCCTCTGCACATGCATAGCATGCTAGACAGTGGAGGATGAGCCGCGCTATATCGCAGTTAGATAGCAGTCATGGCGGTCCGCTGCCGTCGCCCATGGCTCAGTGGCATAAGTCGCTGACTCGCAAGAGTAAGGTCGTGGGTTCGAATCCGGCAGGATTCGGCTGGGGCGCGCTACTGACGAGTCCCAATAGGACGAAACGGCCGTCTAGCGCTTTCCTGGATGGGTGGTGGCTGTCTGTCTGTGTCTAACTGCGACGAATCTTCACAAAAACCTAATAAATCCACCTACTACTTACTGTGTCCAGTTTTCGTTAGCTGTTGGACCAAGTAGACATTAACATCAATTCTGTGGGTTAACTTCACCTTGGTTTAGATCCGCATTCTTCACCCTTCTCGGATGGGTTGCACCTCCTGTTCCGTAGTACTATGAAGTAGTACATCGCCCCACCGCTCGGTCAGGTTTTCGTCGTTATTTGAAGCTGGGCGTTTCCCGTCGGCTTGGAAAGTGGGCATTGTCAAACCCATATACAAAAGAGGGAACAAGCAACATCCAACCAGTTATCGTCCAGTCTACTTAACCTCGCTTTGTGTAAAGTTATGGAGCGGCTCCCGAAGCATGCACTTCATCACTACCTCCAGGAACTGCAGGTCATCTCTTGCCCTCAGCATGGTTTGCGAAGGAGACGCTCATGTACCTAGAACTTACTAGTTGCTAGGGAGCAATGGGGGGAGTTGCTACATTCCGGTACACGCTTGGACGTTGTGTTTGTTGCTTTCAACAAAGCTTTCGACAGGGTCCCGCACGAACGACTTTTGCTTAACCTCCGAGGAATCGGTATCGCCGGGAATCTTCTCTCTTGGAGTTCTGGTTTCCTTCGCGACCGCACGATGCAGGGGCAAGTAAACGAAAGGTTTTCCGCCCCTGTTCTCATGACTAGTGGAGTACCACATGGTTCGGTCCTCGGCCCCGTGCTTTTCAAGCTCTTCATCCATGGTTTACCGTCCACACTCCAGGTCGATTGCCTAATCTTCGCCGATGACCTGATGCTGCTGATGGAATCCAATATGGAAGATGCTGGCAGGATACACTCGACTCTCGACCTGCTACATAATTGGTCGATTAAGTGGCAGATGCCAGTGAATCGTGAGAAATGCTCGATTCTTCCGGTTGGTGCGTCTGACCCATTTAGAATCATCCATATGGTTCCTTGCTCAGAAACGCCACTCAGGAGAGAGATCTGGTTGTGATACTTTCGTCAGACATCAAACCTAATGAAGATACCAAGAAAAAGGTCGCTGCGGCCTACAGGATGTCTTGCTCTAAACGTAGCGCCTTCTCTCGCCTGACCCCGGGGCTCTTCCCACTCCTCTACACTTCCCAGGTACGCCAGCTTCTCGAATAAGGGCTACTTGCCGCCTAGCTTCTTAAGAAATTCGAATGTGGTATGATTGAGAAGGTTCAACGTAGTGGATCTAAATCCGTTCCTGAGCTGCGGGACCTGTCCTACGCTCTCCGACTCAAACACCTGAACCTCTGTGCCCTGGATTGCCGTCGTCATTGCAGAGACCATCTGTACCCGACGTTTCCTAATAGGAGAGTTGGGGAGGGAATACCAGGAATTCTTTCACCACAACACAGAGTTCGACAAGAGGCCACAGTTTGAAACTGTTCAAACCGCGGAGTTATCGGGCACGACCCAACCTGGCTTTATCCACTAGCGTTGTGAACATCTTGAACCACCTTCAGGAGTCCAACGTCGATGCCAAGACCGAGGAACGTTTCAAACATTTGTTGGATCCTCATTTTAATTTACGGGGATCCAGCTGTTTTCAATGCAGCTTCAGTGGTTCACTGTGGGACCTCGTTCCGCAGTGACCCAGGCTATCTCCGCAACGATCGGGAATTGACGGAGTTGACACAGGAACGCTCGTCTGCTCCCTATCATCCAAAGCTCCAGTCCATCCAATGAACGTTAAGTGGATTAGACTATCGATGGGCTAGCCCAGTCCTAGCTGGGTTTGAAACTTCAACTTGTAAATAGGTTGGTGGTTGCTACAACGCTGCATGTTGCCTTTATAACATGAAAACAGTCTACTAGCTATATGCGTTTTAATTATTATTTTCTGTTTAGTATGCAACGGAATTGAATTGTAGGTGAACACGTTTAGTGTATTTTCCGGCGTAGTAACTAGTACGACTTGAGATTGTTATGCATGTTTACATATGCCGCCTGTACTTCCTGTGGCGTTTTTACAAGTACACAGCTGTTACGTTTATTTGTACCATAGCCCATCCATTTGTTGGTACTAGGTGCTATCCGCAGTTGTTCCCTTGATTTTGCTGCTTACCGGTACGTGGTCGGGGTTGATGGACGATTCCTTGGCAAATACAGGTATTCATAGTGGAAGTTGTTGAACTTAACATTTAGAGGCAAAAGACAGTGATCCTGATTGTACTATACCGGAAACCAAGGTGGAAGATGTTGAGTTATCCACCAGTGATAATCCATCTGCTGATGGGCATTCGGAGGACGTAGATATACCAACAACGGTTTCGGAATGCATGGTGACGAATGTGGAAAACCAGGCGGATTGTGACGCAGATTTGGCTGCTGCTTCAGAGTTTGATGCCGATGCTGACAATGATGAGAATGAAGGCGACGATGACATTGTAAATGTTATTATTAAACCCAGTGGCAAAGGTGGAATTTACAAAACGGGTGCTACCTACCAAGCACGTTCAGTTTCTCACACAGTGCAGCGTAAGTGATAGGCTAATGAGTCCAAAATAATCTAATCTCCGGATTCTGCCGATTAATGCGTTGTTATGTATATGGCCGTCTTAACACGCCGTTCTTTCTCAGCATTCTGCTTACTACTTTCCTTAAGTACAATTATTTTCATACTCGTTTTCACATATACCACTTGGTCATTAGCTGAAATCACTTCGGTTCACTTCTCATTACTTACTGTTCCGCGCTGACCGCTCCATTAGCCATCAAAGGAGGATTTAGCTCTTTATGTGAGTTATCGCTTAGACGTATTGAAGATCATCGTTTTTCAATCGAACGACAAATCTATTGTAGCTCTTGCGGTCTTGATTTACGCTTCCTCCGTTCAGTTTATGGTCGTGCTAGTGTATAGAACCCGTACGAGCACATCCAAAGGAATCGTTGGGTTTACATACATTCACTGCGAACAAGTTTCTGGTTCTGGACGATTTCAATCTCCTATAGGCCTTTTGGACAGATCTATTTTACAACTCGACACGGGCTGTTCGGTGAAGACCTGAGGACTTGACGCTGCGGGTACCACTGTACCAGTTCGTTGATCTCCAGTAGGTGCATGTGCAGTCAGCAACCGTCCATCTTAGAGCTTGCTTTTACTGTCACTTTCCTTTACTTACGACTCGCTTCGCAACGCCAGTGACCACGTTTACTTGTCTTTACGGTCTGCTCTTACTAGGTTACTAGCGTTTGGCATTTGATCATTTGGACCGCGATCTTTCAAGCGATGCAAGGCAGCTTGATCATCGCCTTGTGCGATCACTGAGACGGACACTGTTCAGGTAGCTGGAAAAATTTGAGGCTTAACTCGTCGATATTTCTACACGTCTCGCCCTACTGTTGAAAACGAAGCAGTCGAGAGTGCACTCCGTTTATAGATTCCATCGGGAAGAAGCGATCTGGGTGCTGGCAAACGTACCGAGCAGCTCCGTCGTCGAGCACGTTTAACGGGTATCGGGTAGTTCGGAATAATTGCAAGCCAAATCAACTTGACCTGGCTCCAGTATGAGAAGGGCCTAGCTGACACTGCCTCGACAAATCCGGAGAAGTTGTTCGCCTACGTTAAGCGGCATTGAGGCTGAAACTCGTCCATTCCAGCCTTGCTTCGAGGAGATGGGACCTATATTTATCGAGAATGACAAGGTGTGGGTACTTGGTGAGCAGTACTCATGCATCTTTGTCCGCAAAACTAAAGCACTAGCTTCAACAGTCTGAGGTCTCTTGTCTGAACGAAATTAGTGCGACCGAGTCTCAAATTCTCAGGTTGCTAAGACAGGTGAAGCCAACTAAGGTTTCCTGTCCTGATTCTGTTCATCCCAAACTGCTGCACGAATTGCCAGTGAAGCTCAGTGGACATCTGACTAGTGTGCTTCGGTAGTCACTCAACAGCTGTATCTTGCCTGCCAAATGGGAGGAAGCTGTGGCCTGCCCGATTTACAACTGCGGTGACAAGGACCTACCGGCTATATTATAGGCCTATCAGCTTGACTAACGTGAGGGTTAAATTACTCGAAAAAATTAGTAATGGATTTAGTGGATAACCAAATGAATAAACTTAACCTGTTTAGGGTCGCTCAGCATAGATTTAGCAGTTTTCGTGTCTAACGAACTTACTGGTAGCCCGTGGGCTGAATTCATAGACAGGGGGCATGCAGTGGTTCTGCTATTCATTAACTTTACCAAAACCTTTGACACCCTTTCTCATTCTTGACTTACTGAAGTTAAGGTCGTATGGGATATCTGGTCGCGCTCTTCTGTGGGTGTCAGCTCTTCTGATTGGACGAGAACGCGTAGGAAGCACTTTCATTTCGACAAACTGTCCTTAGGGGCATCGCACAAGGCTCAGTCCCGGACCGCTGCTTTTCGTAGTCTATGTAAATGACTCGCTTGGGGAGTTTATGGTGCTGTCACTTTTAGTTGCCGATGACCTAAAGCTTGGCATTTAATGGATGTCCCTGGGGGTCATGGGCTCTTCAAACAGTCTCTGGATGGGCTGGAAATAATCTGTCCTGTGGTTGTTGCCTATAAACCGGGCAGCGTTCACTGCTGCTTATCGGGGCGCTTGATTCCTCTAAAGTTATATGATCTATGTGAAAGAAATTCCTCACGCGTCCCATCAGGTTGACCTTAGTGTCGTACGTTGTTCCATTCTTTACAAGAAGGTGAATAGCAAAGGGTTCCGGATGTTGTGGTTTAGCCGGTGTTCTTTCTGTACTCTAACACGGGCTTATGAAACTGTTCTCAGCTTTCCTGCGACCTCACCTAGAGTATTGCGTCGAGGCCTGTCCACCGTCTTGTTCGGGACAAAATGGCACTAGAAAGAGTGTTGTGAATCGGTGCTACTTCGTTTGGGGATGCATTCAATGCACTGTCGAAGAATTGGAGAGAACCTCATCCTAACCTACCGTATTTTAACTGGTTGGGTTGGCCTGGATTTGTTTATTTAGTCCTGCTAGATTGTTTGGTCTCATCGGGCATTGCGTGAACCCGGACAGACCGCGGTCCGAACTGATTCGGGCGGAAACTCGGCTTTTGCGCCGTCATTGGGTGTTGAAACTCGCCTCCAGAAAGTGTTGTCAGGACATCTATGGTTAAGGGGTTTGGGCATCTACTAGACTAGATTTTAACGTAGTGCGATGGTTTGTGTACCCCTTTGACCCATTGAGTTACTTTGGATTGCACTTACAAATGTCTTCAGAGCCACTCATACCAGACAGGTCAATCGTTAGGGGTCAGACTAACTCAGTCTCACAATCGCCCCGCTGCCTTGCGGGCAGGCTATTTAGCCAGAGGCTCGGAATGGAGTCCCTGAAGACCCATCCCTTACTTCGGCTTAGACAACCAGGTAGTATCACACCTACTGATAAAACCATGGACTGTTCATCTGCAATGTCGCTCTCAGCTGCTTTTGCTTTTGTTAGTCATTCCTCTTCACACGCCACCTGTTCATTTGTTACCAGTCCATATTATCCGTTACCAAATGATTCTTGTTTCCATTATTCTACTTCGTTTGCTTTCGTCGACAGCTAGAGAGCTCTCCCAGTCGCACTCCTTCGGCCTCGGTCTTCGTTCCGTCTGGTATGCTTCAATATACGTACACTCATTCAGATCGAGCAGCAAGCTTGTCTTGCGCGCATTCTGGAATTCCTCGCCATCGATGTTTACTATCTTTCCGAAACGCGCTTACAAGATCCCGGTATTGTGATTGAGTTAAAATCTCCCACCGACCACGGAGCCATATTTCCCCTACGTCTATCTGGTGACGCAGAAGCAGCTGCGGCAGGCTTGGCTGGCGTTGGTGTAGCGCTAAGTAGCAAAACCGAGGCAGCACTGCTGGACTGGTTCCCGATTAATAGCCGACTGTGTGCAGTTCGGCTTCGGGGATCATGCAAGATAAACAGATGTCGTGAGGAGAGACGCAGCTTGTTTGTGATCTCAGCTTACGCTCCAACTGACTGCAGTTCCGGCTCTGTCAAAGACGGTTTCTACCGTAAACTTCATCAGCTCTTGAGTAGAGCCTGCAAATCTGACATTGTTATCCTTGCTTGAGATCTCAACGCACGGGTCAGTCATCTGCTGGCATGCGAAAGTCACGTCGGTGGTCACCATGCGCTCGATGAGAGTCGCTCAGATAATGGAGAGAGACTTCTCACTCTACGCGCAGATAATCCTCTTTTCTCTCGAGCACCAACTTTCGGCATTCGAGGAGATGTTCCGCTATTTGGCGACCCCCTTCTGCGTCTCAATCATGATCTCAGATTGATCATATCGTAATCAGTTTCAGATGGAGGGGTAGTGTAAAGGATTGCAGATCCATCTGGTTCACTTTTCTTGACTCAGACCATGCTCTTGTCTTTGCAAACATCCGCATGAGTTTCGAAGGGTTCCCGAATATGAAGCGCTGTAAGATAGACACAAATAAACTATCTACTATTTCGATTCAGCAGAGTTATCAAGCTTTCCTTTCTGGCGCTCTCGGCTGCAACCCATCGCAAGATATTGATGAACACTGGAGTGCATGCAGAGGACCATGCCCTTTTCCGGACAGCAAGTTTGTGGTCTCACTCATCACTCTATGATGGCCTGGATCTTCCCGCGTTCCTTGGGTTTATTTGACCGGCGCAGGAATATCCCAGCGGAGTCTAATCATGATGAAGTGTGCCGTTCTGTCAGTCGGCAGCTCAATCAAAGCCTACGCAGTGACCGTGAAGCCTGGTGCTTCTGAAATGGAGGCCGCTGCCCCCTCTGGCAACCCAAGTTCTTCCACCCCATTCAATTCACTGGTCGCAGAAAGCCTGTTGTTAGTGGGACTATATGCGAAGCGGATGGTTCGCCGATTCCAAACTTACAGCGATGCTTGGACCGATAGGCTGAACATTTTCATTCCCAATTCAATTGGTACTCACCGTCCACTTATATCCCCTGCGAACCTAACTGCCCGCCCTAGGTCGTCACACTTGATCCACCCAGCGAAGCGGAATTTTGTCTTGCGATTGGACACCTGAGACCATTCAGTGATGCCAGCTCAGACGGACTTCCTCCGGAGTTGTTCAAATATGGTGGCTCAGTTATCATTAGCCAGCTAACCTCATTGTTCTCCAAAATCTGGCATGAAGAAAAGGTGCCTTCTTCCTGGGGCGAGTCAGTTATTGTCCCGGTTTTTAAGAAGGGTGCTCGCACTTCGTGTACCAATCACCGGGGGATTAGTCTCATTTCGGTTACCTCCAGTCTACTGGCATCCATTCTACTCCGTAGACTATCTCCCATTCTCGAACCGCAGTACCGGGAAGAACAAGCTGGCTTCCGACCTGGCAGGGGGTGTGTGGATCCGATATTCAAACTTCAAATCCTGGAATACTGCCACCTTTACCAGAGGCCTACTATCGTTCCTGGACATCCGTGCAGCATTCGGCTCGGTTGATCGACTTGCACTATGGCTTTGTTTGCTAAGGAACGGTGTCGCAGAAAAGTACACTGCCATCCT